AAAGAATCATTTTTTGACATATCACTTACCATAAAAAAAGTCGGGTTACCAGATTTCCTGAAGACTTCATTCTAAAGACTTAAAGATTTGTCTCTAGACCTAACTTTTTGCGCTCTTTCGCGTTGGCTAATCAGTTTCAAGGTGTAGGATTTTTCAGCACCGGTCTTGAGTGGTGGTCTCATGTATCCTCTCTTAATTAAATAATTTTTTTCTTTGTTTTAGATGAATTTCAACATCAAAAGTGAACAGTAAGCATCCTATTTAATTAAATAGTTTTTATTTCTTTATTTTAGATCAATTTGCACATCAAAATTGAACGGTAAGTATCTTATTTAATTAAATAAATTTTTTTTTCTTCATTTTAGGTAAGAGTGCAATAAATCCTGTTTATCTGCATAAAGATTGTAAATTTTCGATATGAAACTCTTCCAAATCTAATCAAATCTTCGTGTCAACTATAGCCAGTTTTATTCACTCTATCTGATACTGACAATTATTTACCAAATCTAAAAAGAGTACTTTTAAGATTTTGTAGCATTTGGTGGAAACATGTAGTTTTCATCAAATGCTACAAAATCTTAAAAGTACTCTTTTTAGATTTGGTAAATAATTGTCAGTATCAGATAGAGTGAATAAAACTGGCTATAGTTGACACGAAGATTTGATTAGATTTGGAAGAGTTTCATATCGAAAATTTACAATCTTTATGCAGATAAACAGGATTTATTGCACCTCTATTAATACCTGGTTTAGCTATAGAATTCCTATAAGACCCATCGGATCCTGCACTTTCCGACATCTTCCGACTGTAGGATCTGACTGTCGGAAATCGTCGGATCCGACATCCGACAACTTACGACTAGATTCCACTACCTAAGATTCCGACAACTTCCGATAGGATCCGTGTCGGAAGTTGTCGGATTCCCGTCAGAATTGACCGGATTGATCTGGATTTCCTACAGGATTCGACGGGATGCGGGATCTGGATTACTTGTCCTGGGATCTGTATTATTCTGTAATCTCTGCTATAATAAAAACATGTAGGTTTCCGTAATCTCTTATTAAAAACAAGAAATGATCAGGATATCAATGAAAAGTCATATGAACAGTCGGACAAACAATACATAGATTATTTAATAACCTTGCACTCAAATAAAAAAGGGCCATTTTATTAATACCAACAACTTATGTATTTCGCTAATAATCAATGGTATAGTGTAAAATAATAAAAATTAACGAAAACATAAATATGAAAACAAGTGATTACTGAATAGTTCAAGCATTTAAGGACACAATAGATGGACTATTTTGCTAGAAAATAGTAACTAGATAAAAGCAAGCTTCGCAATGAGATAAGATCAGAGAGCAACAACAGAAGCACAAAGTCCAAATATATTCTTCATGTAAACTTTATTTTCTTACAGTTTTTCCACTGCTTTTTCTGTATCAAGTGAAGATTGTATTACATTAATATTTACAGCAATTGATCGTGGAATACAGATTCAAGAATATTTTCAAATTGATTCCTCGAACACTGTAAAACTATGGCTTAATTCAATTGACAAATCTTTATCATTCAATGTATGAATGATTCAATCATTGTAATCCGCAAATCGAAGCATTATTCCTAATGCGTTTTTATTATCAGTATTTGGTACCGATGATACAGCTACAGCGAATGATGCATTAAAAAGATGGTGGTATATATTTAATCAGTTTTTAAGCAGAAACAAATGAAGAATTGTTTTTTTTTCTACTGGTAAGAAAATAATTGTATATTATTAATTCAGATATTACTAAAAGGAAACTAGTTCTTTTTACAGATATTGATCCAAGATATCTACATCCCATCCATTTGATGAGTAGTTTTTAGCGTCTGTTCCTAATTTCCAACTGCACCAGCATCTGCAAGCTCTTCAAATACATATAACATAACGTTAACCTTGGTTTTATCTACGAAAACAACATTTATTATTGTGTTTTCAAGATGCAACACGTTTTATCACCAAATATCGTAATCACTTATTATCATCAACTGCTGGCTTTTGTCTTGGTAATCAATGTATATTGATCAATCATTTACGTCACATTATCGAAAATAGAATTTATATAGAGTTTGACCATATATGAAAGAAAAATTTGACATTAATCCTAAAGATTGCCATAACTTAAACTCATGTTATTCATTGACATATAATGGCCTGTTTCAAATTTTGAGCGGTAGTATTAAAATCGAGCAATACTGAACAATCTTTAGGTGTTAAAAATAATTATAGTGGCTTGTATTGAAGATAAAACAACTACTTCTGAACGTAAGTACGCCTATTAATCATATTCATTAATTGAGAACAAAGACATCTTCATTCAGAAAACGGCACATTAAATAAAATTTAATTTTAGGACTATGATCTACTTGGTGTTTGATTCTTCAATGTCAATTATAGTGTCTATGGATCGAATTCAAAAACATTCAACGGAACGCAAATACACAAAATAATAAAAGAAGATACTTTATTATTAAACAGCATACATATCAGTCGAACTTAATGCATGTAAATTATTATATTTAGTTTTACTTGTCAAGCAGAAACAGTTACCGCCACGTGGACTGAATATTCATATTTTCAATGCACAAGCTTGTAAATCACTTCTTTTGAAAAACGCGAGCATTAAGTAGAATTTATTCAATTATACGCAACTTCATTGTGTATGATTTTTACAGCGCGCGCAAACGTTGTCATTGCTAAATGATATTAAATATTAATAGTTACATTATGAATCAGTTGACAAATTTATCTTTCCGGTTCATTACAAAACATCGAAACGATGGTCAATCAGCATCTGCAGAAAGTCAAAACGGGATCGATCAAACAGATATTAAATAAGTTATGACCAATGCATATTATGAGGCTATGCATATACTTAATGGCTTAGAAATATTAAACTTATTGCAACAACAAAATATTCTTGATTTAAAGCCATTAAATAAACGTTTGCTTGGGCTATTAAATACATATTCTAATATGTACAACTGCTCACCTCAAGTAGCCAGCATAGATGATGATTCCTGTTTTGATAAGACGGTTGTATTCATATTTGACATGCTTGTATTTTCTTCTTTTATTTTATTTTTAATTTTTAATTTTAATTTAATTCAATTTAATTTAGTTTGATATTGCTTATTTATTTAAATTTAAAATTTTGTGACGTTTTGTATCTTGATAAGATACTTCACCAGACATTAAAATTAAGAGGAATAACATACGAATAAACACAATAAGAAACAAACAATTTTCTTTTTCTTTTCTGTAATATTAGTGATACTTTTGATAGTGGATACGGAAAACAAGATGGTAATAGTAGTGCCTAGATAGAGATTGAATCCTTTTCCGTATCACTATCAAAAGTATCACTAATATTAAAAAAAGAAAAACAAAATTGTTTGTTGCTCATTGTATTTATTTACATGTTATTTCTCCTAATTTTAATGTCTGATGTAGTATGTCATCGAGATACGAAACGTTACAAAATTTTTAAATCTAAATAAATAAGCGATATCAAATTAAATTAAATTGAATTAAATTAAATTTCAATTAAAAATTAAAAATATAATAAAAGAGGAGAATAAAATCATGTCAAATATGAATACAACCTACTTATCAAAAATAGGAATTCGAAAACCTTTACGGAGAGAAAATTTACATCATTGCACACCATTTGTGGAAATTATACAAGAAAAGAACGAAAGAAAAACAAAATATAAGATTCATTGTACAATGTAAACAGCACAACTAAACACCAAATGGATTCAAATTGAAGAACACGACAAATTTGAATAACAATGAAAAGTTATTAAGACAATCGATGTACAAAATAAGAAACAACACATTACAAATGAACGAAAACAATTCAAACATGTCGACATTGAAGTTAACACTAGAAATTCAATGTTAAATCATTATTTAAAAAATCCCAACCAACACGACAACATCAATATGACTTGAGGTGGATAAACAAATATGATGGAAATTTTGAAAATAATCTAATCGAAAAGCATGAGATTATAAAAATATTCAGAGAAAAACAACTACAACAAGAATTAATAACAATAAAAAGCAACATACGATACATCAAATGCTATTAATATGTCAAAAATTCAATTAAGTCAAGAACAATTAAAAATATTATCAAAAGGATTAAAATTTGTTCCAATAGACAGAACAATTAATACAGTAACAACTATGACGTATTGTGAAAAATCATTATATTCAAGATCAGAATTAATTAAAATACAGCTGTATCAGAAATATCAACATTTATTCAAAAATGGAGGAAAGCTAAGAAATTTAATGTAAATAAAGAACTGAATCTATTAAAAGAAACACAATCAATCGAAGATATTGTTACTGTTCAAGTTGATAAAAGTGGAAAAATAGTTATTATGGACAAAAATTGTTATATTAATAAAATTCAAGAAAAATAAAAAGACTTGAATATTTATGAACAAATGAAGTGAAATCCAACAACAGCAATTGAAACAGAAATCAAGAAAAGCGTTACCAAGTTATTAAATCAAAATAAAATTACAGAACAGAATAAATATTCTTTAACATCAATAGATGATCTTCCGAAAATTCATGGTCAACCTAAGGTACCTACAAGCAATACCCGAATGAGAATTGTTATTTGTTCAAGAGATACAATAACATCACCATTATCTCAATTCATATTCAAAATTATTAAAGAATTAAGAACAACATTAAATGGTGTGGTATGTAGTACATCAAGCTTTGTCAAAAATATTGCAGATATTAAATTAAATCAAAACGATCATTTAGCAAGTCTTGATATTCAAGACTTATATACAAACATACCAGTTAACAAAGCAATCCATATTACATTAAAATGACTTGATGAATCTAAGAAATTAAAATAATTTACCAAAACTGATATTAAATAATTATTAAATTTAACTTTAAAAAACAGTTATTTTCAATATAATGGTAAATTTTATAAACGAAAAACCAGGTTTACCTATGGGTAACACATTGTCACCAATATTAGCCAACATATATATGGATGAATATAAAAAAAACATCTAGATGAAGTAAACATTCCAAATGGAATTTGGAGACATATTGATGATATTCTAATTAGTACAAAAATGAATAAACAACAATTAGATAGTTGTGTAAAATATTTAAATAAAATACGTAGAACAATTAAATACACTTCAGAATTTGAACAGAACAATGAATTAAATTATCGTGATAAAACGTTAACAAAAATCAATATAGATAATGAAAGAAAACTTTAAATTAGATGGTTTTGAAAAGACACTGCTGCAGATAGATTATTGAATTATGAATCAAGCCATGGAAAAGTCGTCAAAATAAACATCACTAAAAACATGGCTAGAAGAATTTTAGAAACAACACAGGACAACCAAGATCAAAAAGAAGATTTCAATAAATTAAAAGCTATGTTATTGAAGTCTAATTATTCATTGAGAGAAATTGAAAAGTTAATTAAACAAACATGCGAAGAATTTAAATCAAATAAAAACAATTTCAATGATAAAAATAATGATACGCTCAATCAAAATAAAAATTGGGAAGAAATTAATTATATTCAATATTACCATACGTTCCTGGTACGGAAGTATCAAAAAAAAGGCTTGAAAAGAAATTAAAAATTAAATTATATTTCTCATATCCATACAAACTAGAATCACAATTTAATCAATCATTGAAAGTTCCATTAAAATATGTTATTTACCAAATCTCTTGTTCATGCAAACCAATTTATTTTGGTCAAACGAAAGTTGGTATAGACCACCGAATTCAACAATATTCGAAAATAATAAATGATAATGAAGGCAATAGCAATTCGCAAATAATTAAATACTTCCAAGAGAAGGCATTTCAATGTTATTTGATACAAATGATGCTTAACCCTTTCACGGGCGGTGGTACATATATGTACCACTTTTTTGTCTTTGGACACAGAACTATAATAAATTAGGAAAATAAATAACTTGGCACATTATGCATAACTGCGTCATAAACATCGACAGAAATTGTTCCCTTGAAATTCGCCCGTGAAAGGGTTAATCATTGAAGAAAATGATTATTGGAAAATACGTATAAAAGAGCAATATATTCCATGATAATGGAATCAATAAATACACATGATGAAATTAATGCATTATGGATACCAATATTACATAAAACAAAGCAACAAATCCAAAGACAAATTCAATCAGGTGAAGAAACTTACAACGAATACAAAAGAAGTAGAATACAACGAAAAATAAGACAGTGATAGTGGTACAGAAAAGGATTTAATTCTTATCTAGCTATTGCTATTACCGTCTTGTTTTCCGCATTACTATCGAAAGTATGACTAATATTAAAGAAAAAAAAGAAAACTGTTTAGTTCTTATTGTATTTATCTACATATCATTTGTTTTAACCTTAAAGTCTGATGAAGTGCTTCATCGAGACACGAAATATCACAAAATTTTTAAACTTAAGTAAATTAGCAATATCAAATTAAATTAAATTGAATTGGATTAAATTAAAATTAAAAATTAGCAATACAATAAAATAGGAGAATAAAATCATGTTAAATATGGATAATGATAACAATAATGATACTATTTCTGCAAATGATGATCACTCTGATGAAGATGAACAAGATGCTACTCCAGAGTTCATCAGTACGACAAAAAGAGACTTGCTCGGAGTAAAAGTCTTTGACACCATGAGACCTTACCATGCAACATTCTTGTTTTAAAGTTTCAATTAATCAGGACAAAATATCTTTATAAGCAGTCTACTTGCTGGTTGTGAACAGACGAAAAAGGTAAATTTTCAAATGAGAGATTACTTCGAGTAATGCAAGCTAATGAAAACCAATAAGTATCTTTTTCTTTACGTAATATTTTGTTTACTTTCTTTTCTCAATAAGCGGCATATCTTAAATTTAAAGTTGTAGAAGCAGCGATTGTATTGCACGCAGACAATAAAAAAAATGTACACTAATTAGATTTCATGAGACTTTGAAGAACTCCAACGGCCTACAAATGAGTGGGGTCTGCCTTTTTTCCTTTAGCTTTTTTGATATTCTAGAGAGTCTAATGTCCTTTATATCTCTCAATAGCAGACACAAAATAATGCCTATTATGCATTTTTCAAACAGCATGAACTATTTTCTTCACTCACTGCTATTTTCTATCACGTTTCTTATTGTAGACAGTCATATTATCTTTATGCTATTCTACGAGTGATCAACGACTTTTCTCCTAAAACATTTTAATGTCAAAACACTATAGTACACGTCAAAAGTCTCGCCCCACTTTTTTGTTTTCAGTCGTGTATTAAGACTACCCAATATAATTAAATTTTTTTTTATCCCTGTATAGTAGAAGCCAGATACTATCTATATGCATCTGTTTAATACTCAAAACCGTTGAATATCAAATACAATAAAAACAAACAAACTTCAATGCTAAGAAAAAAAAATTATATAAAAAACTACAAAATGATATTGTTGTTTTAAATTTCAGTAGTTTGAGTAATGTGCGATTAATTTAAAACTCGAGTAACACTCTTTCTTTGATATTTTTACATGGTTCGATAGAGCTCGTCGGGCTCTACAAAATTATCTATATTAAAAAAAATTTAAACCGTTTTTAGAGATAAAATTTAGAAAACCTCGCGTTTTCTATGTTTTCTGTACACCAAATTCACAATTTTTTCCCATATAAAAAACGAGTGTTTTGTACACCGTTCACGTACTTCTTTTGTAAATTTTATCTCTAAAAAGGGTTAAAAATTTTTTTAATATAGATAATTTTGTAGAGCCCGACGAGCTCTATCGAATCATGTGAAAATATCAATGAAAGAATGTTACTCGACTTTTAAATTAATTGCACATTACTCAAACTACTGAAATTTAAAACAACAATATCATTTTGTAGTTTTTTATATATTTTTTTTCCTTAGCATTGAAGTTTGTTTGTTCTTATTGCATTTTATATTCAATGTTTTTTCGTATTAAACAGATATATATAGATAGTATTCGACCTCTACTATCCAGAGATAAAAATAAATTTCCATTATATTGGATAGTTTTAATATATGACTCAAAACAAAAAAGTGGGGCGAGACTTTTGACGTGCACTGTAGTAGGTCTATATTTTTCTGTTTTTTCATGAAAATCTGATCTGTTTTAGATGTATTTGCTTGCGCAACGCTCGTGCTGTTCAACGATCTGCATATAAAACAGTAAACATCGGCAAAATACATACTTGTTACTCTGGGTGGAGGAGAATCAGTCACTGGCTGTGAAGAAAAAACATAATATATATTTTATGAATGCTAGATTATATCGCTTTATTACCTGACTCAATTGTTCATAGACCGGACCTACACCATCATGGACTTCTATACTAATCGAATATTCGTTGCTATCATTTGGTATACCCTATAAAGCACGAGAAGCATCATAATATGAAGGTCAGTGAAGAGAGCAAAGCTCAGACTGAACTAACATTGTTTGTGTTCATTGTCGTTGTTTTTTTTCTAAAACAGATTGAAAATAGCTCTTTTCTCCTATCGGGCAATATATACATTTGCACAGCAAAACGAGAAAAAACTCTTGTTCGACCAATCACCGTTCTATCTGTATCGACACAAAAAAACAAGCTCATCATGTCTTCGATGCACGAATGTGATCCACTTTTGATATGTTGCTTCAAAAAGAAAACATTTATTTCAATACTCATATTCATTGAAATATGTTCTTCAAATGTGGCGAATGCTCTCAAAACTGAACTTTTGTAACATAATCGTCATCTCTAAACAAAATCATCTATCCTATTGGACAACAGTAAACATCGATAATAAATAACTGTTTTCTGACATCTGATTGGTTGTACTATTGAGCATCTGGAATATGAGTAGCTGTAGGCCCATTGCACTTGTTCGTCGAAATTATTCTGATTGGTATTTTGCCTTTATTCTTTCAAAGTTCCAATTAATGGTAATTATCTTGCTGCGACATGATAATTACTAGAAAAACCTGGTAGAGACATCTTTTGACAGAACTTAGGAAATTTCCACTATGGCTTTAATTATTAGTTATTAGAGAGCGGTAGTATTCAGAATGATCTTCTTGACTTTCTCTTAGTGAAGATATTCTATATTCATTTCTCGTTGGCTATATGCACTCATTGGTCATCTTCGTCCGCTTTCTCTCTTTATTTTTTTTTCTTGTTTTTTCTCTCGCTCTCTTTCTTCCTCTTTCCATTGTTTCTCGTTTCTTTTCTTGTCGTTGTTTCTCAGCTATTATACTATTGATTTTTTTCATGCTAAGCACGTGAGGGATGCTGATTAAATGATGAGACTCAATAAACTATGACGATTGAATGTCTCGAAAAGAAAGAGAAAGATCGAATCGATTGTGGCCTTCATATCTTTCACTTAAAGTGTGTGATCATTGTAAGATTTTGTCAATTCAATTTTGACGACGCTTATACAGTAGAATTCTCTAGTATGAAAACCATCAAAATCAATGAAAATCGTTCACAATAGCAGGAAGATCGCTTTATAATGGGTTCCACCATGAACAAATGCAGAGCACGATTTTTTCACATGTTTGCCTTCTGTTTCAATAATCTACTTTAATTTTTTCAGGCTCAAATATTTTCATCGATTTCCGATATCACTTGTGCAATTTTTCGTGTTCCAAAATATCCACCAGGCACATACACGAGGCATATTTGAAATAGGCACAAATAGATCGCTGTTTCAAGATGCTTGAATTGAGTAAAATGCCTGTAAGTTTCGATTACTGCTGCATAACGAATGCATGAAGTTTGGGCTGTTATGTAACCGACAACCAAAGTAAACGGCACAAGAATTGTAAACTTTTCACCAAATTTAATCAACATTTTCTGCTATTTAGTAGCGTTCCACTCTCTACACCCCTCCACATGCTTGGGACAGCTTTGTACGTATATGATATTGTTAGCGGTGATTCACCATCATCCTTCTCTCGATGTCTTTCTACATTTCTGTCTCTTGCACTGTTGCTGCTAGTATTATTGTTATA